CACACACACACACACACACACACACCTCCTTGTGGTGGTAGGCTCCTCCCCTGGACTTGGGCTCCCTCCTTGCAGCAGGGACCTCGGGACCTCTTGGTCCTGCCTCAGCATCACTTGTACCAGGATGCCTAGCAACAATGACAGGATTGGGGGCAGTGAGCTTCTGTCTCCTCCCCCAACAGGCCAACTCTACTTCTTGAGGCACAGCCCAGCCTGGGTCCTGACCCCACATGTCACAGCTCTGCCTTCCCTACTGACCACCCTTCGCATGGGAGATGGCCCACTCTGGACCTCTGCTGGCCCCAACTCCCACACACAGCAGGCTGGCTCGAGGCTCTGGAGCAGGTGAACTGCCAGCCCAGTGGAGAAGCAGCCTCCCTTCCTGGCTTCCTGATTTTCCCCAGTTGCCATGGTAATTGAGGGAGCAGTGTTGAGACCCAACACCATGGAAGCCCAGTGCTCAACTTTGAAAGGCATCGGGGAGAAGCGGGGTCCAGGAGGAACAGAGCCCAGGCTGCAAGGGCTCACTCCAGCCTCCACTTCTGGGATGCTCATTTACCCATTGACATATAGGCAATCCCCATCGGTGTCACCGTGGATGGCTGGTCTTCTCAGAGCAGGTACTGTATGCCAGACACTAAACGAAGAGCATTGCCACCAACGTTTGACTATACCAGCCTCCCCACAGCCCAAGACTCACATCCGAGGCTCAGGAAGCAGGCTTCGGACTCGGCACACCGAGTCAGGAAGTGGTAGGGCCCTGGCAGGCCGATGGGATTTCTCAGGCCCTCCCTGGACATATTCTTCACACCCCACCAGCTTTTCCTAATGCCTCCCTTCCCTCCTCCCCTCCTCTCCTAGTCCTCGTCCTGCACCCCTCAAGGTCATAGCCCCTTTCCTCAGGCTTGACGTGTAAGATTATCTGAAGACCACGTATGAGTGACAAGGAGGGGTAGCTAGCTCTTGGCCTCGGCGCAATCATTCTGAGCATGCTTTGCCTTCGTTGGGACTGAGGGGGAAATCAAGCTAGCAGCCAGGTGTCTGGGCGTGTTTGGGTTTGAATCTTCCTCTCCTTCCTTGAGTCCGACTCCCCCCTACACACACACACACACACACACACACACACACACACACACACACACACACCACTCCTTCTCCAAGAGTGTGTGAGCAACAGCGACAGTTAAATGCAAAAAACGCCTGTGCAATCTGCCCAGGAAAAGACAGCTTTAGAGACGGGTTTATATGGTTACCCATATGTTAGAGCCCCTAAGAAAGGAAGGGAAGTGTTCTCTGAGTCTGCCCTTCCCCCAGCCCAGCCCTTGGCCTCTCCTGGTATTGGGGTCTCCAGGCCATAGGAAAATAAGACCCCCTCGGGGGTTTTCCAACTCCCCCTCCCTAGATGCAATGCCTACACTCTGCTCCGAAAAACGCAACAACCAGGCATGCTTTCCAGAACATCTGCCCGCTCAAGAACCCGGGCCAGAACCCAGGCTGTCTTCTCCCACTGGCTCTGTGAGGGGCTGCTTGCCCTGCCTCAAGGGGCGGTGCCCCTGCTATCCCATTAAGGAATCATTCCACCATGTAGGACAGAGACAACCACCTGCCTCAGCGAGGTCCTTCTCTGCCCAAAACAGCCTCCCTCCCTACTGCGGTCACTACCTCTAGCCCCCTTCGGGTTCCCCAAAATTGTCATTGTGTGTATGTTGATTTTTTTTCTGATTAAAAAAATGGAAATTAGGTTACATAAAAGATGTATGCTTCCAAGCCCAGAGCGGCCCTTTTAATGAGGGTTGCGACGTCTCCCTCCCCACGCCCATAAACCAGCCGGTTGGACGTCACCACTAATTCGTTTCAGCGGTGATAGGATAAAGCAGGGACATTAAGAAATAAATTCCCCCTCACGACCCTCGCTGAGCTCGCTGCGCGGTCCCTGCATATTGATGCAGCCGCGGGGTGTGCGGGCGACCACTTAGCACAGCGGCTGCTCCGAAGGGCAGCTGCGGCCGGGGTGAGCTGGGTTGCGCGCGCGGGGACGCTGGCAGCCTCCAGTCCTGAACTTGGCTGGGCTAGGGCGGAGCGAGGCGGGAGCTAGGGACCGGGAGGGGGCGGGGAGCGCTCGCTCTGGAAGCTCCTACCCCGAGGCGCTGCTGAAGCCTGGAGCATCCTGCCCCGGAGCGAGGCTCTGAATCTGCGCGCTTGACAGCCGCGGGAGAAGGAGGCGCGGGAGACAGGGTGATCGGCGGCGAGATCCACAGCCCTGGAACTGCGCGGGCTCCAGCGGCAGGTGAGTTCTCTGCCCCGGACCCAGCGTGTCCCACGTACCCTCTCTCCCAGACTGGTGCTCTGGCTCTGACTGTGTGCGTCCCAACTTGGCTCTCCTTGGTAGCCTGGCTCTCCTAGCGATGGGGCGGACCCGGGTCGCCGGGCTGTGAGCGCCTGGGAAGATGGGTCCTGCTACCTTGCTCCAACTTTACAAGGGCAGGGGACCCTCCCAACCTCGTTCCCCAGATGTCCCTAACCTCCGTGTCACAATAGCAGGGATTCATGACCCAAGGCGTGCACGTAGCCCGAGGGTGGGTATGCACGACCCCTGGGGACCTTGGCACCTGTGGGGACTCAACTTTGAGCCACCTCCTCCTCTGGAAGACCCTCTCCTCTTCTCTCCTGCCATCCCCCCAACCCCTGTGACCCTGTTGGTGACTCTGGCATGACCAGAGGGGGACCGGAGTGCAAGGCTGGCTTGCTGGAGCGCTGCTCCTTGGCTTTCCAACTTTGCCCCCATCAGCCTTCCGCTCCTATGGGCTGCCTCGATCCAGTAAAGCAGCCTTCACTCCCCCCAACCTGGAAAGTTGCACCTCTCCCGCCCAGAAGCCTAGAAGACCGTTGAGAGGGGCTGATGGTTCCCAGAGCACAGGAAAGGCATTCTGTGGGTCCCTGCCACGCATAGCTTTTTATCCAAGTGGTCCAAGAGTGAGACAGGGTCCCCAGGAGATCCGGCTTCCCTGGCCATTCATAGACACTTGGATCTTGGAGTCCAGCACTGGACTCTTGGGCTTGCTCTCTGGAGAACAGGAAGTGAGAGGCTCACCTCCACCCTCAGGGCAAGGTGGCCTCAGCACCTGCAGCTGTCTCTGTACACTGGGGACCTGGCTGTCTGGAGCAAGCCTCAGGCATACAGCCAGGGCAGGGACCTTAGAGGGACTTCCCTGGGGTTCTACTCCTAAAGCAACCGTTTCAGGTGAGTCCCCTCCCCTCTCTAAGCCTATTTTTCTCGTGTGTAAAATAGAGAAGTGGCCCTTTCCTGGGGATTGTTGGCAAACCTTTAAAGCGTCGTAAATGTCGGTGTGGAGCTGAGGGTAGATGCTCAGTGCGCGGGAAGTATTGTTGGTGGTCCGGACTGATGCAGCCTGGAACAGATCTTGGGGCCTCTGCATCTTGTGGTTTCCCACAGACCAAAACCAAGGGTCCTCAGGAGGGTGATTTAGGCTGCACCCACCCCCATCTCCCAGTCTGCTCAAGCAGCACCTGGGGAGATGCATCCCATTTTGCGGCAGATGAGACTCTAAAAAACATTGTCCTACTCATGGGGAATCCCAAACCTCACTCACACATATTCACAGACTGAGAGGGAGCTCCGGAGGCCCCCCATGGAGGGAGAGTCCCCAAAGGTGAGCTGGCAGGTGTGATATTCAGGCAAGCCTGGGGCACCCAGGAAGTGCCTGCCCCAATAGGAAGATAGAAAGGAGCTGACCCTTCAGGCCACTCCTCTAAAGGGGGCATGAGGAAAAGTACCCCCTTGCCCAGCCCCACTTAAACTGGGATCAGGTCAAATAACAGGGTTTGGGGGGTGGGCATTAACACAGCTTCCTGGAGAATTGATTTTCTTGCTTGGATTTTTGCTTTTGTATCTAATGGAGGTTGTTTGGGGGCTTGATTTTTAAACTTGAGGTGTATGCCAGAATGGAGTAAGGGGTCATGCCCACTTTTTGTCTTGGGGAGCCTCAGCAGGGTTTCAGGATCCTTCACGGGTTCCCAAAAGGAAGCACTTCATCCCCATGATTGCCAATGCCACTGCCCCGATCCAAATTCTAGAAGAAACGGAGGGGCATGCTGCTTTGCGTATGCCGCAAGCTCCTACCGCATACAGGATGTGTCTGGAATATCTTGACTTCCCCAGTACTTAGGACAGCTACCTGAACCTCACTTTCCAGATATGGAAACTGAGGTAGGGCTAACCAAGCTAGTTGCCCATCATCAACCAAGGAGACCTCCACCCAGGTTTGTGGCTTCCTAAACTGGGGGGGAGGGGGTGTGCATGCATAGCCAGCCTGACCTATGCCCCACTTTTGCGCACACTTCCAGATGCATCTGCACAAGCAGCCTCCCTCCAGAGAGACTTCATAAAGTCTGATAACCCCCTACCGAAAGTCCCAGGACATTCAGGGAAAGAGCAAGCAGCATATCAGAGACCTGTTGAAGATTTTTGTCCCACCCTGTTTGCTCCATGGCTGTGTGACATTTCAGTCGGTCACATAACATCTCTGAGCTTCAGTCCCACTATCTGTCAAATAAGAGAATCACTTCTACAAAGAGCCGCCTTGAAGATACTGTAATGTCTGTAACAGGCGGTCTAGAGACACCCAGCGTGTGTTAAAGTTGTTGGGTTGTTTGTTTGTTTTGTTTTTTAATAAAAGAGAACGAAACCCAGTTTGAAAGGTCTGCTCTGAAGCAAGCATGAGATCTAGAATCTCTTCCTGCCTCTTGTCCATTTTCCCCAAATGGCCAGTGCCAGCCCATAAAGGCTTTATCTCTGAGGAGCGACCCTGGAAGGAAGCTGAGAACCTGGGGAGTGCACTGATGTGAAAAGTCCCCAGGGGTCTCCATGCCAAGCATCAAGGAGCTGTCCAAGGTGCTGGGAGAAAGTGTTCCAGATACTTCCAGCCCTCACAGGGATGACTTCAGGGTTAGCTTGCCTAGGTTTTTGTAAGCATGAAGAAAATGTGCCATATTCATGTGTGTGTGTGTCCATATGTCTGTGTCCCTGGGTGTCTTACGACAGCTCTTGGCTCACAGCCTGTCACTCAGGTTCCCGGTTTGCCTCGGCAGGGGTGGGTGTGCTTCGGAATGCAGTTAAGAACCACAGACAAGAAGTATGCTCCCTCCAGGGAGACTGGCATACTAAGAGGTTGAATTTGGCAACTCAAGAGCAATTTTTACATAGGTTGTTTCCACGGAGGGGCACACTTTCCCACCCCAAAGCAGTGTGAGGCTGTGTGGTTAATAACACAAAGGCTGCAGACAGTGTAGACACGCCTTTTTGTCGCCTGATGTCTGATCGCCTTTAGACATCTTCCAATCGAGTGAGTGTCAGATGCTGCACAGCCGACCAGCAATGTCAGAACCACAAGCTGGAAGCAGAGGTGTCAGGACCCCTCTGTCTGCAGAGTCCCCATCCCCTGCAGGAGACATGAAGTATATGCATTTCAATAGGGCTTTTCTAGAAGGTTCTAAGGCCCTTGGTTCCTGACCTCCTTGTGCAGGAGGGAAGCCAAGGACTAGAGAAGACATGGGATTTGCCAAAAGTCACACAGCTCTTCTCTGTCAAAGCCAGGGTTGGTCTTCACGTCTGGGCATTTTGTCAAGAACCTGTGGGTGATATTTCATGGTGTCCTCTCAACAGACAGGCCCCAGAGTTAGGCATGGATGAAGCAGGATTTCCTTTCTTCTGATCATCCCTGTAAGTTTAGGGAGCTGTTGGGGGTTCCTCCTACCTCAGCCTCGCTAGATATCAGTCCCGAGTTCCCATCTAGCAATGAGCCTTAGCTAACTGGTTAATCCTTTCAGGGAGAAAGCTCCTTTTTAAAGTGACTCCTCAGGAATGAGTTAGCTGTCACTGGTCTCAGCCAAAGCCCTTGCTTTGTGGTCAGCCCTGGCCCAGCCTTGGCAAATCATCTATGTGTCTGTGGACCTCAAGCTTCTGAGCCTGGGAAGGAGGGAGCGAGTAGCCTGCCACGCTGGGAAATGGAGCCGGCTTGGAGCCGTTCAATGCAAATAACACATCAACAGAAAATGCCGCTGGGTCCCCAGAGTGGGCATTCACAGGGCTCTTTGGGCACGTGTCCTGCCATATCTGTATTCAGCAAGAAAGGCTAAGAATTAGGGCCGTTACCATGGGTGGCTCCGCAACAGACATCTGCATGTGTCAGATGTGACATCATGTGTGTGAACGCTGCATGTCTGAGGGCAGGTGCCTGATACAAGTGCTCTGACCACCCTGAGGTTGGCTGGATCAGGCAGTGGGGTATCCAGCAAGCGCTGTGCCAAGTGTGACATTTCTTCAGGAGTGGTGGGAGTGCTTTGCCACTGCTGCCAGGCTGGTGTGGCTGAGGGCATCGGGGGAGACATCTCAGAGGCAGAGACATTCAGAGACAGTACCACCCCAATTTGCACGAATCTCTTTGGTGACAGGGCATCTTCCAGGATGAGCTGGCCACAGTCAGATCACAAGGGAAAGCATCACAGGGAATCGACAGGGGCATCATCATGGGATGCATCCAGTGAGTGACTCGGGATGAGTGAGCTGAGCTTCCCGACCCTTGGCATGCCATCCACGCAATCATTAAGTACTGTGTGAGCTGTCAGGAGGAGTCAGTGGGCAGCCTTGTGAAAAGGGACAGGACCCAGTAACCAGGAGGAGATAAGCTGAAAGCAAGAAACCCCTTCGACTGGCCAGTTGTTTGGCCTGAGCCTGATCCTCACCCTCAGCCTCCATTTTCTATCTGTGAAATGGAGACTTTGGAATCCATGGTGGCTCCAATGAGATGCCTGTTGAGATACTGTGCGAGGAGGCTGGTGGACAGTTATGTTTTGCTGGTTTGGATTTAGATGTAGGGGAGGGCTCTTGTTACAGGCTTTTTTTTTTTTCAGTTGATTTGGTGTATTGATCTAGATCATCTCAGGGCCAGTGCATGGGGTCCATGCCACTTGCCTGACTTTAGAGGTGTTTGAGCTGCAAGCCCTGGGCTAGTGGTCTTCAGAGCCTCATTAGCATCAATATTCTCTCCCTCACCTGAGACGTACATTGCTCAGTCTCAGTCCCTGAGTTCTGCCCAAAAGGAGAGTTCCTTGTTCAAATGGAAGTCAGAAACCCTTTGCAAGGGACATGGCTTCTGTGTGCAGCAGGGAGGTGTGCCCTGTCCCACATGTTTCCCTGCTTTGTGCCTCACAGTACCCGGCGCCATCTTGTATTGATGGTGATTTTCCCAGGAAGGGTAGTCCTGAGTCTAAAGCATCATACTGTGCATCAGGCGTTTGTCATGAAAAGTCCCTGGAATAAATTCTCCAGGCTTTCAGAGGTGCCCCAAAGTTCTATTGGCTTCCACCATCTCAGCGTTAAATAACTTTTGGAAACAGCTTTTTTATTAAAACTTCGCAGCCAAACTGAAAAACAAGGTGGACCTTTC